AACATGTTAGGCCACGTTTTATAGGTCAAACGTCTGGAGTCCTTGGAAACAATAAGTTGGTTGTCTTAGCATTATATTTGAATGGCTTAATCGTTACAAAGCGTAAGAAAAAAACAAAAACTTTACGTTTCTATTATCTTGTACGATGAATTTTTGGAAAGATCACAATGTTCCATAGAAACTTTTAGTTATAACCATAATTTTCACTGTTACTTCCACAAGGATGTCTTATAATTGGTTTCCTATTTATTACTGTCGAATCAAACTATTTAACACGTTAAAGAGATAACTCTCTTTAGGTCGTGTGACCTAAGATTTTAGTCTTTCATTATAATCATACTGACACCATGATCGAAAGCTAGTTAGACTATTTCATGTTGAAATGATTAGTCTGCTTATAGTTTTCTAGTAAATTGAGACTATTACGTATCCATTGCATAATTTTAGTGATGCAATAAGGATATTACTGATGAAAAACCGTAAGAAATAATTGTAGTGATGAGCTTAACAAATTATTTTTGTAAAGAATTTCTAAAACTTATTATTTTGTACTATTTTGAGATGTAAAAAAATTATGACTTTCAATAAACAAAATATAATTGTACATTAGTCAAGAAAGTTTCTTTTTCTATTGTAAATAATTTTAAAGAAAATGGTGCCACTTATAAGTCTTGATTTGCAAACTTGAGGCAACAATCATTTTTTTTCTCTGACATCAGTTCACTTACAGATTTTCTTCATTGTTAATCCTTTAACTATCTTATATTCATCGACAACTTTGTTGTTCTGATGTTTTTCTATGCCTTCTAGATTTTTGCAAGAGTATTTTTTTCACTTATTTTTCTGTGACTATAGGCATCAAAACATACAAAGACTGTGCTTACGCCACCCTTAATGCAAAATCATCCCACAAAATGTTCAACCATCCAATCACTACTTTAACCTAAGAAGACTAGTTAGAGGAATTGATTATCTTATATATTGCAAATACACCTTTACAAACTAAAGTGTTTAATATGGAAGGAAATAATTTGTGTGTGCGTGTGTTTGCTACTATAGAGAAACAGATTAGCAACATAATAGATTATAATCGTCAACAAAGTCATTGTATCCATTTGTAGCATACATACTTAAAAATTACGATAAGTGATTCAGAAAGTAAGAAGCCTATGATCATTAGACTTCACTCTGCATGGGCTTTAACCAGGACCCAACTTGGCTACACAATTGAGTCATCTTATCCTTCGTGACCCAACCCGAGTATACTTCGTTACACGTGGCAAGCTCTTTTCTTAAGCTATCTCAATATAATGACATCCTATCATTGACGATAAGGTATCATGTTATCGTTGAGTTTTAGAATAGAATGATTCTTGCAAATTTATTTCAAAAAGATTATATCGTTCAGATTTAATATTTTGACGAGTATTTATTTATTGTAAATTAAAAAATGTAATTAACCTTTTTTCAGTATAAATAAAGATCTAATTTTGTAAGTCTTCATTGTAATATATTATAACAATCATTTTTTTAAATGTTATACCTCATTTGTTGAAGAGAAATTGTTTTTTAATAGATTATTTAGGTTAGAATGCTGTTATTACTTTTATGAATTTTATAAAATAAAAATAAAATGGTATTTGGCTAATACTTAATCTTTCAGTTTTAAACAAATATCACAGTAGAAATCGGAAAAATTACTGAAAAATTCATGAAATGTAGGTATTTTTGCATTTCAATAGTTATTTCAAAGGATATACAGCCAACTAAAAAATATATATATATTGTGGCATAAGCACAAAATATTTTATTATAAAATACAATATTTTGATCACATTGTGTCGCCCTTACGTATGAACAAAGCTCATCATTTAGGTGAGGCTCATTACAACTGATGATAGTTATTACGTTGATTTTAAAGTGAATGCTGAACATGGTCTTAAATAAAGTTCCAACATGGTACTGAAAACTAATACAAAAGGCTGTTAGAGCGTGTTAGTCTGGTGACAATGACTGTATTTTTCGTGAGGGTATAAATATTGAAAACATAAGAATTGTTAATTGTATTATTAATAATATAATCTATCTATAAGGAATTATGTTGTTATTATGGCTAAAGCTTTTAAAAATAATGAATGGTTTTATTTTTGTTTCAGGTAAGTCCTCAATTTCCTGCGATAAATCAAAGACAACTTGGTTAATGTAAGTTGGAAATATTCATACGAATCTCAATGAAAAACCTCTGATAATTTTTTTTGACTTGGCTTTCATTTGATTATTCGAACAATATTCATCAAACTATAATTATATTATTGTAATCACGGCAAAATGTTAATAATACCCACGGGCTCCTAAATACGTGCTTTTAGTAGTTGTCACTTTTCATCTCACATAAAAAATGCAAAATATGCTCATAGGGTCCAATTAAGGGAAAAATGTGTGCTTGGAACATAATCAAGAACAAATGCTCGCTCAACCGAGGTGTAAAGGTACTGGCATGTCGACGACCCACCGGGTGTGGCACATCTCACTCTCAGCTATATACGTACAGGAGTACAAAGCAATAGCACATCGATGCCTGTGTGTGTCCGTGACAGGTACAGTTTTATACATGTACAAGTGACATTCCTTGGTGGATTAATGAGAGTTCCAGCTATGCTTTGCCATACGTTTATACCTACCAACTCCCAGCCAACGAACTCCTTCATGATGCAAGGAAATTAATCAGACGTAATGCTACCCCGTGTGCTACCTGTTGTCTGCGTCCGTGTTTGTAACGTCACTAATTTTAATTGACGAAGCATTCAAAGTATTTTTCGGGAACGCAAGCACCGAGCTTTGTGAATTTTGTTATTGCTTTTTGCTGTTGTCTCGAGTAAAATGCGTTTTATAGTTATAAAAAATTTTTTCTTTTTTTTTTTTAATACAACCAATACATGGGAGTGCCTTGTTTTGCTGTCAGGGAAAAACTTGTAACTACTCATAAATATGCTTTTTTTTGATGTGAAACAAATTTTAAAATTAATATGTTGCTGGTCTAAGTAAGTCTCTTATGTTATCTTAATGTATTCTCGATTCTTTATTCATCAATGTAACGTCATTTGGTAATCATTTTCGAAACCATTTGGTTTGTTGACATTTTCGTAGGCGTGGTCCAGTTTTATCAAGTAATTCTTGACGTTATCCTTTACAAGCTTACTAATCATTTCAGCTAATTGTGCAAACGATGGCATTAGAGTTAGTTCAGCCTACCAGCACCAGAGCACAACTTTGTGTCTTAAAAAACAATAAAAAGTGTAGTGTAATTTTTTAGGGACAAAGATATCAGAATTAAAAAGTACCAGCAACTGTCCTTCTCTTCCTTACATTGCTTGGTGGCTGCTCCAACCTGTACATCTATACACAGCTTTTTGATACGTGCCTAGGGCTTTTGCAAGAGTGAAAAACTCCCAAAGCACTACACCGAATCATCAAATGTCTGACTTTGTCAAAAAAGTTCCATTTCTTATTGACTCGATAGACATCCAATTTATGGGTATCGGACCCTGGGTCTGTTCCTTGTAGTAACCGTCTTTGTAAATCGTTTTGGCCAAACCAAAGTCGCAAATCTTTACAACGTAATGTTCTGCCAATAAGATGTTTCTTGCAGCCAAGTCAGCATGAAAAATCTACATGTATCTATGTATTCACATAAGGAAACTAGAAAGATATTAAAAGTACCTTTCTTCAGGACAGATACTCCATTCCATTAGCCACCTGATAAGCCCAAGAGATGAAGATTTGAGAGCATATCGGTCTAGGATTTTCTTCCTCATGTTTACTCTCGTAGCTGGAGTCTAAACCTAACTAAATGTCAGTAGTTAAAAGCACCGTTCAGCTTGATCGAGTTTCAAGAGTCGATACTTGAAGCCGAGCTTGAAGGTGCCAGTAAGGAGTATATTCACCAGTCACCTAAAAAATATTTAAAATTCTCTCATGATTTATTCTTGACGATAAGTTGTTCACTTTTTGAAACTTTTTCATATTCTTTTTAATTTATAATCTTCTTGAAGAATCTTTTTCTTTTTTTTTAATGTATATCGACTAATTTAACGACCCAATCAATATCTGATCTTGAAAGTAATCTTACGTATTAATAAGTTATACATTTTTTTACTCTTAAAATTCATTTCTTATAGACACATTGATGTCACCACTACAGATGGATTGATTTGGTCGATGAATTTTTTTCGATGATATCTTAAACAGTCTTTCACATTCCCAAAATTGCGGATTTTCATGATAACTGTTAACTCATCTAAAACATTTTTCAACCTTGGAAAGATGAATTTCACTCAAGTAGTCCTTTCTACAGGTACTAAGTATATCTTTATATTGAATCACATTTTCTTGTACAGGCTCCAAGAATATTAACAACATGCAAGTGCTACCCCATGTGGACCATTGTCTTCACCTCACTTTCTAGCGCGCGGGTAAAAATTAATTACCGCATCCTCGTGAACCATTTTAACAGCTACAGTTGTAACAGGCTCTAGCATTCATTGCAAATGCTTTTGCCTTCATCACAACGATAAAATTTCTAAATCCTAGTTTTTCTTCTTTTATTCCAAAATCACGTATAAGTTTATTAATTTTACGTATTCTTCTTCACGACAAATTCAATGTTCATTAACTAATGTTAGATTTTTTCTTGAAAATTCTCATTTTTCGTCGTACGAAAGAAGTTATGCTTGATCATCTTCTGTTAGTTCTGAATTTAGGAGATTGATTACTCGTTGTATAAAGCGTGTCTCAATACCTTCCATATTATATTTTTTCTCAACTTTAAAATGTTATAATAAAAAGACCACATTTTATTTTAAAGTTTGGTAAAAAAAAAAGAATTCCTGCCTTTGGATCACGAAAAAAATAACTCATTTTACTTTTTTATGTCTCAGTTTTATGTAACAAAAGAAATTATAATGAGTATGAGCTAAGCTACTATTCCGACTTGAAGTGAACTATTTAAGGTCGATGTCCCAGTACTCGGTCATGTCCCAATAGTCAGTTATCTGGCTGTTACTTTCACTATAAATTTTCAAAACATATATAAATTGGGTAGCTATTCAGAGACTAAGCAGTTACTCTTTCAATACAAGTTAATGTATAAACCCAATTGAAAATATAACGAAGGCCCATAAAAGAAAAAAAGTGACCGACTATTCAGACATTTCGTCTGCTTAAGTGAGCGAGTACTGGGACATCCACCTTACATAATACTTGACTTGTATTCAATTTTGCAGACGATGAACTCTGAGGTTAGAAGTCTGAAATTATGTATACTATGGATTGTTTCGTTCAATTGTAAGATAAAATTATAATAAAAAAGTTGGAAATAAAAATTTTTTCACCTGAGTATTATTTAATGATCCTGAGACTAACTTTAGTTATAAGAAAATCTCATCTAACTTAAGCTTTTAAAAAGATGTCACCTCATTTTGGAGCACCCTATATTTTTTTTCCCACGGATGGCACTACAATTTTCGAGTCCAAAGGGTGCAATGATCGTACGTTTGTGCTTGAGTGGAAAATGTTTTGTTTTTGATTCTGAGCACGGCACGCACGTCCCAAGGTGCCAACGAGAAGCGCCAAAAAATCCATTCGTAAAAAGTCGAGAGCTAGAACGCGTGTAAGAAAGGTCCCACAATGCTATCGGAGGATCTACTTTACATTACGAGCTTGTTCTTACATTTATTCGTCGCTTATGATGTAATGCGAGTCAAATATTTACGCAAAATTTCCACATAATATGATAAGTTGTTACAATTACAAGTAAATGAAAAACTCCCTCCTTACGGTTTATACTCGACAGCCGTACCTCAAAAGGAGCTTGTCGCAAAAATCATAATGCACTAGAGAAAATTATACCTCAAAAGCGTCACAGCCATTTGAAAATCACTTCATCCCCATCAAAGAAGACGACAGACAGATCAAAGCGAAAGAATAAATCAACTTGTGCAGCTTGAATGTTAAAAAGAAAAACACATAAATTAGGATACCCACGAAATGCATTGACAAGGAGAAGTAGTAGAAAAAAGACCCTACGTGCAGGGAAAAGCGGAAAACAGAGATACATAAGCATCGAAAGAGAGAGAGAGAGAGAGAGATATCGAGGTGGCGAAGAAAAGTGGCAAAAGGAAAAGGCAAAGCCGCAATAGGACGCCCTGGCGCGTCGAGCCATAGAAAACAGCCTCGCCCCCCCCTCTCCGCTAACTGCTATTGCAAATATATATGTATATACGTATAATGTATAATACCGCTGCTGCAGCTCGCGGAACACGTCCGCATTTCGGCTGAATAAGCTAATGCAATCAAACGGGTGAAAGCTCTACTTACAACTTTGCCCTGCCTGGCAATTCGGGGAAGGGGGAAGGGAGGGGATTGCTGGGCTTTCGCCATTTACCGCGAATTCGCTCTTTCTCCCTCTTCTTCGGCATCCACACTAGTGCATAGAGCGCTTGCACACGTATAGACACACGCTTGAATTTCTGAAGGAATAGCAGCGCCCGTTAGTCGTCCTGTACTCGCGCATTAGGGGCTTACTACCCCCCCCCTCACCACCCCAACGCCTACCCTCTCTGGAGACATTTTATGTGTCCTCGTGTCTCTCGTTCCAGTGTCCGCTTTTTCGACTATTTCTACCGTGCAGGCTCTCTTTTACCTCCCAATATACCGTGCATTAGTAGAAAATTTATTTTAAGATTCACTGACTGAAAATGAAGTCCTTGCAGAATGCACGTGTATACGTATGTGGAGTACTTTACGAGGTATGCTTACTTTTCGGTAATGTTAGCTTGTTGAAATATACTTTGAACGTAGATAATGTCCTATAATATCGGTACTGGTGATAAAAAGCGTAGTGACAGACTGTTTATTCACAATCAAGACACGAAGTTGACTACGATAGGTAATCGCGTTGTCGATGAGAACCGATATCCATGATCTTTTATGGAATTACAAGGTGAAACTATATTTCGGAAAAAAAAGCCAAGTAACATATTTATTTCGAGAAGCTTTATTTCACGTGTCCTTGTGTTCATAGCTTGCGTGAAGCGTTATCCGGTTTTGTCAGCTCTGGCTTATAATTTTTCTGTTTTTTCTTTTTAGGGATTGTGCAGATAAATCGTGTTTATTTCACCGACTTTATTTTAATACAAGCTGCTTCGCTATGGGGGTGTTTTTTTTTTATTTTCAAGGCACGTGCAAGCACAACTGTGAACGAGAAATGACGTCCTTCAAACATAGCTTTTTTTAATTTCTTAAGTGCCTTCAATGTGGCATGTGATCGAGCAAACGTTTTTAGAAAGAAACATCTTATAATTCTCCCATGTAATTCTATATTTTACATCAACTATTACTTTTGAACATGAGATTATGAAACAATTTTTTGGTGTAAGCCCCTATAATCTTATCACAAACGATTGTAACATTTAGTTCTTTATTTACGTCACATTATATGTAGACCATAGAAAGTAAAATTTTTAATTGATATCTCTGATTGGTAAAAAAAATTTTATCTTCAATGATAATTCACAGTCGTAGCATGGAACATATATTCCACGAAAAGCAAGCACTAACAATGTGCAACCCCAAGAGGCTAGTCTATTAACTTTCTACAACCGCAGCACACAATCGACTTCCCCTAAACGTGCGTGTATGTATACGACAAACGCGCAACTCAGCCGAGTGTCACACGCGAAATTCTCACAACCTTCCCACTCGCATGGAAACTCTCTAGTATCTCCTCTAAACCACGGCAGCCGTCAAATTAATAATTTGTATACGCCCACGCGCGTGCACACAAACAAACTCACGGGTGTCCTTTCGAGTTCAATTAGCCTTTTGGATACAGGAGGCTGCACCCGTTCGACTTTGGAAATTCGGTCAGCGGTTCTCTGTTCCTGGGAGCGTGAATGTACCACCAGCGTGTGTTACAAAGCTATACCACGTAATCGATGCCAACGTTGTATCAAAGCCACTGGAGTCACAGCTGGTGAAGTTTGTCCGGAACCAACAGAACTACTGCAACAGTTTCCATATATGCCACGTGTGAAAGCTCCCTCCGATTGTTTTCTGATGATTGCTCGAATGCTCAATTAGCTTGGACGTAAAAGCTTCAAGGGAGTTGCTTACATAGGTTCCAACAGAACTGGATAAAGTGATGGAGTGCACCGATATACTAGTATTGGATTATTTCAAACTCTGCGGATGTACTCGTTGGTATATTCAGGAATGTATGGTTATAGCTAAACTTCATGTACTTCCATTACGTTAATGATTTTTTGAGTTTATTTCCATTTTATTTACAATTAAGTAAACAGTACAGTTTCAAACTAGTGTTTAAGTTTACACAAAAAAAAAAACCCACGATGATATCAAAAATATACAGAGATTATATACAAGAGCTCTGTTAGTTAGTTGGTACTAAATCATAAATTGTTTAATAAAAGTCAATAACAGTAGACGTTCAGAAGTTGTTCTCAGTAGACCTTCTCTCTTTGAATCATGACACTATACTTATTTGTTTACAAACGTAGATTTACAAAAAAAAAGGAAAAAAAGTCCACGCACGACAAAGAGCTGCAAGTGCCTTATGTGGAACTTTCCTCTTTCTTTTTCAAAGGAATACCTCTTGAGTGTCTTTTTCGGGAAAAGAGACCCCTTCCTGGGCAATCCAAGCTCTTGGTACACTCGCGAGCCAAGAGAAGCCATCAAACGACGACGACGACGTACCTCCTCCTGTGTTTTTCCTGTTTCACTCTTGTGCGCTTTCGAGATTTATCTCGGCTTTTTTGTACCATGGACTAAACACACCGTCTTTCTCGTATGTTATTTTCCTCGACATCTTGAGGATTTGCGGGGCTGAGCCCCAGATCGCTTGGCAAGCGTTTGCCAGCGCGGAACGATTACTAGCCCGTAGCCGGAAAATTATGTGACATCTACTCTGTGTCATACAATTTTCTACTGCATACACTCCCCACTGAGCTGCTACTATTATTTGGGTTTCCTAGGTCCACACAGCTGGACTTGGCTACGTATGCCATGTTGTATGTTATGGTTTTGCGAGGATGCAACGAAACATTTGTTTGGATGTATAACACACTGGAGGATTACTTGTCCACTACTATTTCTGGTTGATGCTTAAATTGGAACATCGTTTTAGTTCTGAAGAACAATCATTAACATGGTAAAGTAGTTTTTTGATTTGTAATTTTATCACGTACTGATCTCCCACCATTGTAACTGAAACATTTACAATGTCCCTACTTTTTGCTGCTCTCATCATGTTGTTTCCAGTAACTAATAAAAAACATAATCTGGAATCGATAATCGATTGACATTGCTAATTGCAACTTCAAAATGTAATTTATTTTACGGAATCTCAAAACGACAAATAAACAACGCAATCGCGTAAAGTACACACCTAAGTAACTAAAGATTCTTTCTACATGCAAATATATTGATACACCGTAAGCCTCTCGTTCGTTAGGCAAACTATCTTGACTTGATTAACACCAGCGACACACTTCTTTTTATGCTCCCCTTGAAATCCTCATAGAGTAACATCCAGAGTGATATCGAACTTGAATATCTAATCCGTTAAATTATTCAAGTCAGCAAAAGAATCCTCTCGAAGCACCTAGGGCGAGCTCTCCTTTTCCAACACGTGGTCTGGTTTTTCTCGAAGGAAATCTAATAAAACAGCCCTGTGTATGAGAGCCAAATTTCTGTATTTACTGGTCATTTCATTATTAACCATTAGCAAACTTCATAGTTTCATAAATTATAATGTATAGTGTGTGACTGCATAAAGGTGCATTTTCTTGAGTACTGATTGCCAGTGTTGTTTATCATATTTTTAGAGGAATAAAAAGTAGAGGTTATGTTTATATCATGGTTAGTGCTATTCAATATAATTATTAATTGCTTTCCTACTCTAAAATTGACGAAAAAATAGTACACAGCACTTCAAGCTGATTGAACAGTTTAACAGTAAAATATCATAAAAAATAAATAGCTTGTATCTC